GATGATAGTGAAGGTAGTTCCGGAATGCTTGGATCAGGTTTATGGTGTTGTCGCTGGCAGCAGCGTTGGTGTGATGGGGGAACAGCACAAGGGTGATGTAGCCAATATTGTTGCCAACGGCCGCATCTGTGTCTTTCAGCTCCAAGAGTGGCTCCCTGTGGCTGAAGAGCACCTGTGGGTCTGTGTGACTGGCCTCGCGACCCTCCTTGAGCTCCTGCAGAAAACGGAAAAGATAAAGGATGCAAGTTCTGCTCTGTTACATCATGGTACATGGAGAAGTTGCTGCAAGAAAGAATTTGTGACTGTGTCATTAAGAGCAAGATTTGCCCATAACATTGTCCCTGTCCAAACACAGCAAAGTTACTTTGTGTCCCTATGAAGTAGCTTCTGCGGTAACTCCTCAGGAGAAAAAGCTGGGTGTGTTTGATGTATCTGTGCTTGACGTATCCTCTTCAGAATATGAATTTAGCATGAATAAGCAGTAAACCAAGACTTTTCCAGGCAAGCTAGCTATTTTGTTTTTATTCTTCCCTCAAAAAAAAAAAAATAGCAGGAATATGTTCTGTCATTTGTGTTACCTGTAGGAAATTAGCATGTGAAAACTCAGTGACAGCCCTTGTGGCAGAATGGGAAGGTAATTATTTTAAATGAATTTTGAAGTTGCTTAACTTACCCACTCTCTTACCCATTTATGCACATGCACCAAGATGCATGTGCCCAAGTGGCCTGTGTGGACATGGAGGATGAGGGAAGCCCCCAGTTAAGTCTTCACTATATTACCTTTGACTGGTGATGACAAATTGGGTTTCAACAGGTCTTTTATATGCTTTAGGAATCAGCAGTTGTAATGAGGTGATACTTATGCTTCAGACGCTTGCTTCAGCCTCCAAGAGTCTTAGTCAAGCTTGCTGTCCATTGTTTTCTTTATTCATTTTGGGTATCGGTATGGCTACAAATCTGCCTCTCTGTTGGATAACAGGAAGAGGAATAACAAATGCAATGTGCTAAAACGCTTTTTGTCATCCCCCTGCTACCAGAGCTCAGGTCTCCTGCTGATTAATCGTCTATACTGTGGCACTAATCCAATCTAGTCTTGATGCCAACAGCACACTCAGTGTTTACCAGTTTTGTGGTTATTAATCAGGTCCCTGGATAGTAATACAGGCCATCCCCGCAACCCTTGCTCTATTACTTTTTCTACTGCTTTCATATTGTGATTCGTATTTCATTCGTATTAGTCTTAGTATTTGGGTTACAAATTTATACATGTTGGCCAACAAACCCCATTAGCCTAAAGATGGTCTGATGCGGCTCCATGGTCATACCTGGGCTAACTTGGGAGTTTTATGCAAGTTTTCCAGAAACTGCAATACTTGCCCTGCCACAGCAGTCCGATTCGTCACCTGGAAGTCTCTTTTCTCCTCTCTTTCACCACCAGCCCAGGTCTTCAACACAGGCAAAGTGAACAATTTTAATCTGTCCCTTTGTGTTTGAATGAGGCATTGCTCTTTCCAGGCCCTAAAATAGGGAGACACTTTTAAGAGATTTGAAAATGGAGCTTGGGATCCTAAGTCATCATGAATTTTTTAAAGACGTGCTCTGCATCCATATCGTGTTACTGCTCAGCTGCGTGGCTTTTCCTAGACTATCTGAAAGTGGATCTGTACTGCTGTGTTCCAAAGAGGGGTTATTTTAATATTGTACTAAAATACTGACAATGAAAACTTGTTACTTTAATTAGGTGGTAAGGACTGTCATCCTGGGTCTTAAGATTTTGAGTAAGCAGAGGTTGATTGCTGAGGTAAATTTTTGCCATTTTGGAGTTTACAGGATTTATTTTACGGAAAATGCTATTGGTGTCTCCCTTGATGCCTTCCAAATTTCACTGGGCACATGAAGCCAGGACAACATACTATCTGAAAATCAAAGGTTATGGCATGTTTTCTGGAATCAGTTACTTCATGGGTGAAGAGGACAAGTTTAACCAGAATGAGGGGTAAATGTCTTTCAGAGGAGACAAGGCTTGCCTAATTGAATCAGAAGCTCCAGAATTTACATGGCAGCTCATCTTCAGACCACTTTGCAAATTCAGCAACCTGCTGGCCACAGATCAAACTACAGAATAGCTCAAGACTCATTTCAGCTCCAATGCAGAATTGTTGAGCAGTACAAGACTATGGTATACACTTCACCTCCCAGCTGCACACCATTTGGTCTTAGGCCAGATAGCAAGACTCTTGGTCTTATGAGGGCCAGATGTCCCAGTGAAATCACAACTTTTAGCTATCTGTTTTGGTTTTCAGATCAAGCAAGAGAAGTCCTGATTTTTGCAAGTAAGCAATCTGGACACCCTTTCCATACAGTATGCTGTCAGTTCTACTTGCTCAGCAAGAAACTGCAGGTGGGAGGCTGTCCCCTGGTCTAGCTGCCCTGGCCCACCACAGCTGTCACCAGTCACTTTCCAGCTGGGCTGACTAAAAGCCAAAGCAATGCATCCCATAGACTTGGCAGAATGTATCCCATTTTTTTGTACTATCATCTAGTATTCATTCTAGGGTTAAGAGTTACCGGGATGTGACGGGGTGCATCCCACAAAGTGTTCCTTTGATTTGGGTCATCAGAATAGCTTGTTGGGAATCTCTAGTGGTGTATGGGCCAGCACAAGTTAGAGAAGCTCTTTTAGCCCATGCCTTGGCTTTGCTATAAGAAACCTGACAAAGGACACACAAAGATGCAAAGGTGATCAAAAATCAGTGATGGAAAGCCAGCTCTGCTTCCTTGTCCCTCAACTCTTTAAACCACCAAATGTTGTTTTGCCTGCTGATTGGCAGCTGTATTCTGATTTCCCTCCTAGGACACTGATCATTAGCAAACTTCAAAGTTACACTTGAAACGTTCTTGAGGGGAAAAAAAAAATAATTGGAAAGAAAATATTACAGTGAATATTTTACAGACAATGACGGCTTTGAGATTAGGCAATGTTTCTAGAAGTCACGTGCATTAGGAATGGGCAGGTCTTCAGACTGTAGCACAGGACAACCGAGGAAATCAATGCTGCATCCCCATAACAGTGACCCTGGGCTTTGTTTCCCACCGATGCTGGCCTCTCATAGACTGCAACTATGCTGAGGCACTGTAAAATACTAGTAATATTCCTTGTTAAAAATTATATATGGACTTTGCACAGCTGAAAAATCACGAGATTAAGTAGAAGGCAGCAGAGAAAAGGCTCTGAAGATTTTCATTGCAAGCAAAAGACAGAAGAAATTCTGAGTGCTTCTTCAACAAAAGCAGAGAGGCTTTGAAATGCCACCTGGCACAAGCCAGGGTCTAGTCCAGTGGTTCCCAATCTTTTTGTAGCTGAGGCTCTCTCAAGAGAATAATCACTGTTTTGTACATCACTGAATCTAACTGCTCACCTGCTTCAGGGCTGCAATTGCCTCCCCTTTGCTCACAGTGCTCCTGCTTGAGTGTCTGCAGTATCCAAGGCCTCATATTACACTCCTGTTAATGTGAAACTGTATGTCATGCTGGGTGTGCTCAGTTCAATTACGCTTCCAGGTACTCTCCTTATTAACATGCAGGCATCTCAGATGACATAGACGACACAAGTTCTGTGCTGTGAAAAGCTGACAGACATATTGACAAAAATATTTGCATAAGTCTCAGCCATTTTCCTACCACTAATGTGTTAATAAGTCCTGTGAAACTAATTAAGATAAAAGTCTAATCTGTCCAGCTCCAAAGAAGCTGAAACAGCATCAGTGCAAAATGAGGGGAAACAAGAAAGACAGTCTGAGCAAAGGAGAGGAAATTAAGACGTTCATACGTTATCACAAAAAAAAAAAAAGACAGTATTTGGGCTTGAGGAACAGAGACAGTGAAACAGTAGGGAGGTGTGCCCATTTCCCTTTTTCCTGTTCTTTAATGCATTACCTAAGCCTTTGTCTTGCAAACACAAACACAATCGCACCCCTGCAAGACTATTCTAAAGACCAGAACCCTAAAACAGCACGGATCCCATGGATCACTGCGGGAGACACACGCTATCCCCAAATAAATGTGATCATTTGGAAGTCACCTCAATGAACAACCTGAACACCTGAGAACATATCGGTGTCCCCAACTATGTGTAACTGCAAGATCAGTGCTCCATCCTGCACGCCCTGCTCAGAAAAACTGCTGCTGCTTGCAGCAGAAATGCGTTTGCATAAAAAAACAGCGTGAGCAAGCCCCGCGGCTTCCTCTCCTTTTAACATGTCTTACCTCTGTGTTAACCATCCAGGAGCACCCCTTTTAGAGGTACAGACAAGCTGTTAGTGCATGGGCCACTACAGTAAGAGGTGCCTTGGATTTGCTAGGTATATACAAATAGAGCAACGGTCACTTCAAGCCAGTTCTCCCCAGATATTGAGCTGCCCTGACGTACACTCAGCGATCGTGCCACCAAGGAAGTGACTGCAAATTTTTCATTGCTCGCTGATGAGGTCCATAACTGTTTTTACACCTTCTTCTCTAAATAAGGAAGCTGCCTGTGAGGCCTCCAACTGCCCGACCAATTTAAGCCCCTTGCTTTCAACAGCCAATGAAACCCCACTCCTGCCTCCGGTCTTGGGTGACAGCATTCATCAAACCTCAGCCAGCCTGGGAGGACGGCAGGTTAGTGTTACAGCTGTGGCAGGCTTACCTTTGGCAAGCTGTTGATGTCAGAGTGATGATGTGGGGAGGGACAGCCTCTGCACTATAAAGATGGGTCAATCAAATATAACTGAGGCTGCCCACCAGAAAGCAGGATCTGCAAAACATGGTCCCCACCAGTTCCAGTCCTGCTGGCCTGTCTCTGCTTCGAACCCAACTGCTATCGGGCTTTAGTTTCATGTCAGCAATCTCTATTTGCTTTCCAAAAATAAGCCTCTGCCACCATGCTGAAGGGAGAAAAACAAGAAGGGCGGTATTTTTAGGGCCATTAATTCTGACCACGTGCCCAGGAGATGAACCGGATGGCCACCGCACAAAGACTTCTCATCACTATGTCCTGCGAAGCCAGCGTTCACCGGACGTTGCCTGCTTTCGTTCTCCTGGGTTTTCTAGCTGGGATTGCTTCAGCACATCCAGTTGTAAGCAGAACTAATGGCACATTGCTGGAAAGAGGATGGCAATCTCTGTTGTCCAGGTCCATTGCTGGGATGTCAGGGGAGAAGTCAGATGTGAACTGGGAGAGTGACTATTTGCTAGGAATCAAGAGGCAGCGGAGGCTTTACTGCAACGTGGGCATCGGGTTTCACCTTCAAATCCTCCCAGACGGAAGGATAAGCGGAGTTCACAATGAAAACCAATACAGTGAGTTGCATCCAGAAATGAAATAGAATAGATGTCACTTAATTGCTGTGAACTCTAGTAATTACCCTTCATAGAATGCATATGTTATTACTTGATATTATTAATCTGTGCTACATCTGTTGCCTTTTAAAAGTCTCTGGGATCAATAAACATTAGAACTCTCCAGACCGAAACTTGTCACAAATGCTTAGACAAATTTAGATACTATTTATTTTTACTCTGCTTTACAGCACAGATAAGAAAAGACAAACCAGGTTGAAAACTATCTCTCTGCTGCATTTGCTCACTCACCTTCTCATTTGCCTTTTGAATTCAGGAGGTTGTTGCTCAGCTCAGAGTGCCAAAGCATGATTTTTGAATCCTAGCCGACTAGTACTTTTGGGACACTCCGTCATGGAAGGGGCTTGCTGTTCCTGGTTTGCTTGTTCTTATGGGTGCTGTTCGTAACTGTAAGATTAAAAGCAAAGCATTAGCCCTATGGATTTAAATTTCCTGTAGAGGGCAGTTGCTAAAATCTTTTGCAGCTAAGATATCATGGGAGACTTCAAAATGCAAGCCACACTTCTCTAAAGCTCAATAACAAACATTCTGTAATTACAGCACATTAGACAAAAATAATTTACTTATTAGAAAGGCCAAGAGCTTGACAAGTCAAAAGAGTTTGATAGAGCAAAAAGATTACACAGCATGTGACTACAATTCCAGAATAATTATTTTAAAATCCTACAGCATGTAGTAAAACCCAAGATCTTCTTGGTGTGTTTTCATTATGCTGGACTTGGGAGGTAATTCTAATAAAGAAAATATGACAAGTTTATTAGGGTTTTATAATAAATCAATTATATCTGAATTGCCTTTGGTTAGCTATAAATTCTGTGATAACACTTCTATTGAACTTCTTATTTTTTAGGTCTCTTTGAAATATCCACTGTAGAGAGAGGTGTTGTTAGCCTGTTTGGTGTGAAAAGTGCTCTATTCATTGCAATGAACAACAAGGGGAAGCTATATGGAACGGTGAGTACAAGTGCAAATAGTTTTTCAAGGCTTAAACAAAGCCTGCAAAGGTTTTGGTTGTCTTTTCCTTTCTGGAAATCTCTGATTACAATCAGGGAAAATAGCCTTTCAATTACAGGGAACCAGCCCAGCCCAATGTCATCAGTGTTATTTAGTTCAACAAGCAGCGCGGCTACTAGAGAGGTCTGTTATTTTAAAGCTTTCCAGTAAGATTGTACAGGGAGCAGCCTAGGAAAATCAATGTATTCTGCAAATAGTACAAATTAATTAGATGGCTTCTTCTAAGGGCTCAGCACTGCAAACACATCTAGTAAGACCGAACCCTGTTGATGCCCTTTTGCATTGCATTGTGCATAAAGCAAAAGGGTGTGCTTTGGAAAACCCCCTAGGAGGTAAACGTGTGTCTATGTCTGTGAGTGTGTATGTGTGTATGCGATTGCATGCATACGTGTGTGCATACAGGTGTGTGTAGGCGAGGTATAATTAGAGCTATCTACACTAGCTACCATGAGTAAAATCATGACCACAGGCCTCCCCCTACTAAAAACAACCACGCCATAAAGAATAAATAGGAAGTATACCCTACAAAGTCAACATATGCGCCTGGGGTTATTTTAAAGACTAGTTTTGTGAGATCAGTCCCAAAGGGTGAGAAAACAATAATAGCTATTAACAATAGCTATTATGTATGCAAGGCAAACATCATCACCATAATCCTCATCTAGAAAGTGCTAGCTATGCCATCTAAATGCAATTTAATCTCTGAGGCCTGAGCAAGGCGTCTCCAATCTCAACATTCAGTAGAAAAAGGTTTGTTAGGAAGGACATTTGAAAGAGGCTGGCTCTGGGCAATAGGCAAAAGCAGTCCATCTCTAACTAATGAATGGCACTGATTGCATTCATCTTTTTGTCATGAAACAAGGAAGTTATTTCTTTTGAAACAGCTGTAGGTTCAACAAAGATTTTCAGTTGCTTAATAAAATACTAAATGTTGTGAAGGACCTGTAGCCATTACTAATCTGACAGATTCCTTCTCATACAGATAATGAGAGTGAGACATTTTAAGGTCCATGTCTGATTTCAAGCACCTAAAAAGTGCCACAAGCCCAACTGCTTTGCTGGACTAGGTCTTTCTAAAGTAATGCAGGGTCTAGCTCCAGAGCTCCCTTTGATTTTTTTTTCCCTAGTTTCAATCCAGTTTTATTTATTTTCAAAGACATTTTTAAAAGCTGTAAGAGATGTGCATTTTCCCTTGCACAATGCAATGCCCTAGGTTAAACTCTTACAAGCTTTGAATGGTGTTATTACAAAGATGTCCAACTAGAACAGCACTGTTGGTGTCTCATGTGCCTGACATTTGATGTCAGGGAATTATTCTGCTTTCTTTTTTAATTTCCTCTGTGCTCTGCATTTGTCTCCTGTTTGTGCTTGCACCTCCTCTCCCAGATAATTCCCACTCCTTGGATTTGCCTGATGCAACATGAAGAGAAATAAAACTATTTTCCCAGCTTAGAACATGTTGCATATCTCACTACCAATTAAATATAACATCACTAATGATTTAATAAAAGAAAATATTTAGTGCTAATTCAAATAAGTCTTATTCAAATGCCTTATTCAAGCATATTTTTAGTTCTCTCTGGACACTGCTGTTGTAAGAGAACTGAAGATTTTGACAGCCAGCATATCATTCTTTTGTAAAGTACAGGACCTCTTGCAGAGATGAGGTGTGAAATAAAGCGACATCATTTGGGCAAAGGTGCAAGATGCTGGCAGAAATTATCGCTTGCAAATAAAATGAAGAAATCCATGATTTACGATGAATTAACTTGATCTGTCACAGGAAGTACACAGTCCATTATCTGGACAGGTGGCATCTGAGTTCATCTGACACCAAATTAGCACTGAGGAGGGAGATTTATTGTTGGATGCAGTCACCCCAGCACCACCTGTTGCACGCTGCAACAAGTTCTTCTGTAAAAACACTAATAAGAATAATGACTTGAGTCTTTGTGAAATATTTATTCTACCTGCTTTGTTCTTCCCCCTCTTCTTATTCTTTAGGCTGTTTTCCAAGATGAGTGCAAATTCAAAGAAACCTTGCTGCCCAATAACTACAATGCATATGAATCAAATGCTTACTGTGGTGCTTACATAGCACTCAGCAAACATGGAAGAGTGAAGAGAGGAAACAAGGTTTCTCCTGCTATGACAGTGACCCACTTTTTACCCAGGATATGAACATGAGCAAAGCAGAAGATTAAATCCCAGGAAAAACTGTTTCATTTTGCACATGGGAATAATCTCCCAGGTAAAGTATTTATACTGTTCATTGAAAAAAAGTATATGTATGTATGTGTATATTTGGATAAAAATATTTGTACTAGATTCATCACATAGCATATGTAATATGATGCTGCTTCTCTTCTACTCTGTACAAATTTTACACGACTGTGTACCTCCTTTGGTGCTGAACAGAGAAAAAATGCAAGCTGGAGTGCAAAGGAAAAAAGGTATTTGGAAGATATACAATGGCTGTGGATAACAATCTAATCAATCATAGGTTATTTACTAACTAATATTAGTTACCTCAGATAATAACCTTCCATAGTGAGCTGTTTACATATCATGGGCCAAATCATCAGATGACTTTGCTTCACCAGAGCTTCAAGCAGTTCACTCCATCTGAATATCTGCCTGCACCTCCTCTTCTACACACTGTGTCCTGTCTTGCAAAGTCCTCAATCTATTTTGATCATTAGGGTGCCAATTCCACAACCATTTCTACACAAGCAAACTGCATACCCCCAGACCCCCTCTGCCTCTGAAAGGATTCTGCAGGGTCTCCTCACTTGGACTTGTTGGCAAAATGAAGACCTACAATCAATTTGTCTTAGGAAGGGCCACAGGATAAATTACAGATGGGTCCTAAATGCAAAATATATTTGGAGCTGAAGATTTTGAATGCCACCCCCTTGGCATTTTGTGAGCTTAGTTTAGACCCACCTCAAATATAGAAGTGTACATTTTTAATATAAATACATGTGTATATATAGACAAGGGATGTATGAGTGTGTATCTATGTAATTACATACTTTTAATGAATCAATCATCCCAGTCTGCAGATGCCCAGGTGTGGTTTTATGTGTACACATGTAAAAGAATATAAATATTTAAAGGCACTGTATTTCATTTAGGCTGAACCTTGTTAATCTCTAAGAACTAGAACTGGTCTGCAGGATGCATTTTTTAAAATGTATGAAGTTAATGAAAGCTTCCAGCAAAGGGTTATTTTATAAAAATTCTCTGTTTCGAATTCTCTTCTATTTACTGTTTTAAGTATATTTGGTTCTTCTCTATTATACCTCACTGAGGTATGAAGAACAGAGGAAGAAGGAGGTTGTACAAGCATACCTTCCTGGGTTGGAGCAGAGGAAATTTTGCCATAATTCCAATTTCTGTCACTTGCAAAGCATCAGTTTCAAAGACAACACAGCAAGCTGGATGAAATACTCTCCAAAGCTCTCCTAGAAGCCATACAAATAGCGCATAACCTTGCCTTTCTATTTTGACAACCTTTTTCCAGATCACCAATGAAGCTACATTCTCTATGCCTTTGAAAGAGTATTTTAAGAGGCCCTAAGTCAATAGTCACTATAAATGTCAGTTACCAGAAGCCTTGGGATTCCTGCATTGATGGTGTGCTCCTAAATTTGAAACTAGATTCAATGCAATGTCAGAGCATGAGCATTTTCAGCATAGATGGACCATGTTGCTGCAGAATTGAACATCTGAGTGCAAGATAATCTCCCACGTCCAGCCAAAATGTGGCTATGTCCAGCCTTGAAATGCCATTCTATTTGCAGGGGGTGTCTATTCATGATGAATTTGAGCCTTCTGACATGCATGAAAAACACTGTCAGGGCCAGATCCTCAGTTGGAGTAAAGCAGCCTAGTAAGACTATTAGTTTATAACTGCAGAAGAATTGGCCCACATAGCACACCTACAAGGATGTATCTACAGCCACGCTTTCTGAAAAATTTTCAAGACAACTCTTTTGTAAACAGGATACAGTTTTCCAGCTACTTTTGTGTGATTTATACTTGAATTTATTTTGCTCAAATGTAAGGGGTGATCACAGTGTAAAAGAAGAGAAAAAGAATGGAATACTGCTTAGAGCACACGAACAGGACACTTTGGATATGGTGAAGGAAAGGAGTTACTCATTTTCTGGTCTTGCAGCATGTAGAGAGAAACCAAGCTGGCACACTTCGTTCATCCACAATGTGTGCAGAAGTTTGCTTTGGAAAAATGTGCATTTCAAGAGAAAAAGCAGAAAGTTTTGAGTAGTGAGAGTGGGTCAGAGAAAAGTTTGGAGGATATCAGACAGTTACATTGACCTAGAGTCCTTAGAGGTACAGATAGGAAAACTACAGCTGTGCTGAAATACATTAGCTGGCAACCTGTATCCTTGTGTTATATTCCTAATTGTCTTTGAAATTAAGTTTGAAGAAGGATGGAAGAGTACATGGATGTAGAAGAAATCATAGTTTGAATGCTGACACACAAGTTCATTTCTGATTACAGCTTAAATCAGTGTCCTTAGGATAGGATGAAGTCTGTTCCCTCTTAAACCAGTGTAGTCTAGATTAATTTAGTGTTTCCAGCACTGGTAAATAATGGGATAGCTGGCATAAAAGGTGAGAATCAGACTCACTGACTCCATTTTGCACATACTGGTCAACAGCAAGAACAAACCGTAGACCAGATCACAATAAGTCTGTTTGGATGCAGCCTGCTGGGCTAAGCTTGTTGTTACAAACTGCAGACCCCTGTGAATGCAGTTTTTGTGGGCATTTGGAAATCCCCACCAGTCACTCTGCTGAGTTACTCTTTACACCACTGCTTTTTCCATATTACATATCAACATCAGCCAGATCAACATTGAAGTCAATATTGAAATCAAAAAAGGTCTCCGAGTGCCAGGAGTCCTGATTAATATGTGATTGAATGATGGCATTGTCAGAAGTGACAATGAAAGACGCCATTGTCAGGAGTGATACCTTTGGCAGGAAACCCCTCCAGCACAACCAGTGAAATACCACAGTGTAGTGGAGTTTTAGACTAGTTGGATACAGTACTTTGACAGAGGTGCTTCTTAAGTGAATGCATGGCTATGTTCAAGTGAGGAGTTAAAGCATGTGTTGACACACTGCTGCGGATGTGCAAGCAGCCTAGGGGCAACTCTCAGTAGCAGAATGCACTGTGGCAGTCTTCAAGAAGTTACACAACTTGCCTGGGAAATGACCTGATCCTGTTCTGCCTCATGCTTGATTAGCTGAATTCCACTTCCTCCTCCTCAGGCTATCACCTGCAATGGGAGAAGGAGGATTTAGGAAGACCACCACTCATTTTACACACCTCAGGATAAATTTGTTGAGCTGGCACAGAGAGGGAAAAAAACCCCAAACCATTTGTAAACTGAATGTACATGATATGGAGGCTATGGAGAGAATATGGGCATAGTCTGGCAAACTCTCAAGCAAAACTTTCTTCAAAATAATAGTTCCGTAAACATGTGACTATGTAAAGGAAACTCATAAAGTGAAGGAGTTTTCCAAATCAGGGCCAAATTAGGAACCTACTATTGACAATTCTTGCAGTGGTCCCTTTCAAAGCATATCTCGTCTCAGTGTGCATTAATGCAGAGTCATGAAATGGGCTACAAGCTTTGAAAGCATTGCTGTGAATGCACCGCACCAGACTGTCTTGCCCATATTTTGCACATAGGATTCTCCTGTGGAGTTGATACCTATTTTCAAGGTTTCTTCTTCCATAGGCAAATCCCACAATAATTTAAGACCTAATCCACCCCCCTTAGAAAAGTCTTTACTGGAATTAAATAATGCTCTTAAATAATCAAATTTTCCCCAAACATGCAGAGATACAGACACACACAGTGGAAAAGCAGAGTAATTTTTGTATACCTCACTAAGTATTTCAATTCCAATATTTTATTTTGCACAGTAAAATGGTGCCAAAGTTCTCACTTTATTTTCACTAAAATATACCTCATATTCTGACTCAATATGGACTCACAATTGAGACTGTAAATTTGCAAGAAACACAAAACTGTCCAATCGTTTGTGAAATTGCTTCTATTTTTATATGTAAGTGCTGCGCACAATAGTTTAATGTATTCATAAAATAAACTTTTATACATTTTCGGTAGTGTTTTGACTCCAAATCTCTCTTAACATTTATTTTCTTCCCCGCTTCAGAGCCGCTATATTAACCCTTCCCACTTGCACAGTTTTCATTCACCTCTAGAGCCAAAGGACATATTGGTACACTTAAAATTGTGGTAGCCGTTTGTGTCCTTCAGACTTGTTGCCTGGTAAGTCACAGGAAAGTCATACTTTTTGTAGCGAATCTGGGAGTTTCACAGAAGAGAAGGAAAATAAAAGTTCAATCGGATTAAAGATGGGCTGTCATAGTCACCTGTCTAAATTCCAATGCTTTTTTTTACCTGGGGAAGTTCTAGTGCTGCTCTCATAGAATCATAGAATGGTTTAGGGTGGAAGGAACCTTAAAGATCATCTAATTCCAACCTCTCTGCCATAGGCAGGGATACCTTCCACTAGACCAGGTTGCTCAGAGCCCCATCCAGCCTGGCAATGAACACTTCCAGGGATGGGGCCTCCACAACTTCTCTGGGCAACCTGTTCCAGTGCCTCACCACCGTCACAGTGAAAAACTTCTTCCTGATATCTAGTCTAAATCTACCCTCTTTTAGTTTGAAGCCATCATCCCTCGCCCTATCACTACCCGCTCTTGTAAAAAGTCCCTCTCCAGCTTTCTTGTAGGCCCCCTTCAGATACTGGAAGGCTGCTATAAGCCTTCTGTTCTCACAGAATCACACAGAATCACAGAGTGGTCAGGGTTGGAAGGGACCTCTGGAGATCATCTAGTCCAACCCCGCCACCAGAGCAGGGTCACCGACAACAGGTTGCACAGGACAGCGTCCAGGTGGGTTTTGAATGTCTCCAGCGTGGGAGACTCCACAACCTCTCTGGGCAGCCTGTTCCAGTGCTCCACTACCCTCAAAGTAAACAGTTCCAACTCTCTCAGCCTGTCTCAGCCTCTCTCCTGTTGCTAGTGCTCTTTAGTGTGTAACTGGCCATGCATATCCCTTACCTCATTAAATAAGAAAGGCTCTTTTTTAAAATGGCATTTTCTT